GGGTGGGTGTGGTTTTGGTACAGGTGGGGATTGGGTGGGTGTGGTTTTGGTACAGGTGGGGATTGGGTGGGTGTGGTTTTGGTACAGGTGGGGATAGGGTGGGAGTGGTTTTGGTACAGGTGGGGATTGGGTGGGCGTGGTTTTGGTACAGGTGGGGATTGGGTGGGTGTGGTTTTGGTACAGGTGGGGATGGGGTGGGTGTGGTTTTGGTACAGGCGGGGACTGGACAGGGACTGGATGCGGGGCGGAGACCATCTTGGTGCCCTCGGGGCGGGGCTTTGGCTGGGACCGACTGTAGTGTGTAACTCTGTTGATCTCTCCTGTTCTGTGGTTAGTAATGGGGTCCAGCCTGGAAGGAGGTGATGTAATCAAACGCACATTTTTAATATTTTAATCACATGTGCTGCCAGTTGCAGGTGTTTGACCAGGTCCTGACCCCCCAGGGACCTGCCTGCGCCTCGGTCCCTGTCTGCCTGCGCCTCGGTCCCTGTCTGTGCTCTGATGTAAAGTCTTCATCGGCTTCCGTTTGCTCTCTTAGTGCAGCCTAAGCATTTTTTATTACCCAACAGTATAATGAGGTGTAGCTATAGTAACTAGGGACTAGCTTAATCTATTTGGAAAGGCTCCCGATAATGAGATTGTAGACAGTGCCAAATTACATTACAATGCATATCTTAATTGAAAACGGGGTAGCATTTTTCAGAAAGCACATAAAGCAATGGGGTAGCTTTTATATGTCGGCGGTTTAGAGACCCATCCAGTCATGGCATAATTAAAATATGCCACTTATATTAATCATTACATTTTTTCACTCCAAATAGTTGTTGATGTCTTTGTTTGGGTATTGAAGGTACTTTATGTTTAGGATCGTGTTAGAAGTGATAGGGCAAACTTTGAGCACAATAAGATGGATCGCATTTCAGCATTCGTGATGTTGGTAATTAATTATCTCCATCGCTGTGGAAGATTAAAAATGTCTCTGGTGGCGTTTTTATGTGATGTTGTTAAGGCAGAGACCATTATGGTGCTGGATGTGCATTTAGAGGCTTTAGAGGACCTGTGTCTCCGGCCCTGTGCTGCGCGGTAAAGTGGCAAAGTCCGCCCAGTGCGTTTCCGTCAGGAATGTTTAAACTCGAGGACTCCTCAGACATTGCCTTGCCTTTAACCCGTGCCTTTAACCCGTGCCTTTAACCCGTGCCTTTAACCCGTGCCTTCTGCTGTGCCTTCCCGTCTGTCTTTGCCTACCCATTTCGACCCCTTCAGGATCACTGCCTGCCTGCAGGGTCTGTTTTAACTGCACTGGAGTAGCATTCCCGGAGGTTAATAATGTGTTCGCTGGAGGAGCTGAGAGTTTTATTTTGTTGTTCTCTGAGCAGTCTGCTGGTGTGCCCATCGATTACCAGCCTCCTCCTCTCTCCCCGCAAAAAGCGTCGTCGTGTCAATGCCATGTCAGCTGCGCTCGCTCCGCCTCCTGCTGCCTGGCCGGGAGACGCCTGTGGACGGATCTCGGCCTGATGTTACAACCTTGTCATGGCTGATGTCGCCCTGGAGGGAGTTGCTCTTACTTTGGATGTCGTTTGGTGTCTTTTGAGGCAAAGGCAGCGGAAATGTGTAAAACGGACATTTTTGAAGCTGACGTGCTTTTGGTGGCTGTGATCTTTGTAGTGTATTTTGAGGAAGAGGAGGATCACGCTCAAAGGTGACCAGGATTCCCTCTCCTTATTGATCATTCCGAACTTTGTGTATTATATATTTGATGTGTAAGATGGACAATATCTGAGCGAAGAAGCTTGTGGCTGATTTGCAAAGACGATATGAGATGTGATCCTCAGACTGGCGTTCAGGCGTAAACCGCTGAAAGCAGTCACTTCTACCAGTGTAAATAGGCCAGTATTGTTTACACTCGGCTCTGGAAGCTTCTGGGCTGCCCATGTTCAGCAGCTCTCCCTAATGTCGTCTTAGTGACTCTGCTGAATTCATACCGCAAGAGTCACATGCTGTCCCACGTCCCTCGCTGTGCCTCGCGGGGGACGTCTTCAGCATGTCCATCTCAACTGTTGTTCCACAAATCCGGCTGTCCAAGTGGGAGCTCTGATTAAAATGACGACCCCTCCCTGTCTCCCCGGGGGAGGGCTGGTGACACCATCATTGAAATGATCCAACCTGGATTTTAAGGGGCTTTACAGTTTTTTAACAAGCAGTTCCAGGTGGAGACCATTTGACAAAAAAAAGCACAGGTCTGTTGCAGGTTAATCTGGTGGTTCAGATTTGCTGTGTTCAGTTACACAGACACAGGCACAGCAGATGTCATGCTGACTGAACACTATGCTGCTCTCTCCTTGTGAAGATCTAATACCGTGAGACTTCATGTTTATGTTTTGGGCCTTTCACTCAATTTAGGAGCTGCCCTTTCTCTGGCTGCCGCCGTTTAAGGTACTTTAAGCAGTACTTCAGCAGAAAGTAGTAACACTAAAAATGCAGAGTTGTACAGTGTCAGAATCTGTGCTAGTGGACAAAAGCTTCCATCATTTTGTAAGCCCACCCCCCATCTCGCCCTCCCTATCCCCCCAGGCTCTTCATTTATTTCTCACTATGGCGGTTCATTAGGTGGTACTGAATAGTCTCTGTTGCAAGGTACTGGTTTTCACCCAGAAATGTCGGTCATTTAGGAGCTCTTTTGGGTGCTCGCCATCTCCTGATTGGAGGCCCATAAGCTCCTCCTCCCACCCCAACACGGGTCCAGCTCCAAACCCCCCTTTGTGAATATGGCCATAAAAATTGCAATTTTCCTTCTGGAAGGAAAAAAGGCCATCGCAGTACCTCCTCCTTGCCAAACAAAGCTCTCACAAATCAATTATTTATTGACATATCAGGTTTTCTCAGTTTCTCTCGCTCTGGCTGGGGACTGTGTCATACCACAATGCTGAAGTCTCTCTCCATGTCAGGCTTCAGCTATAGGTCAAAGGCCGAGACATCCCCATAAAAATGGCATGCTCTGGGCACATTTCCTGATATATCACGCTGTTCGACTCTTGAATGTCCTTTGATACGATATGGCTTTTTGTCCAGCACCCTGGACCCGGGTTTTATTGCTCTGTGTTCCCTGCTGAACTGTTCCTGGCTGCACCGCAGCACAACTGAGCACCAGCCCAGGGTCTTCATGCCGTCCTCGTTTCGTGTGCCTGCTAATTACCATGTCAGCTCGTATTTGTACCATTAGTCTGTCAGCCCGTTTGGAATAGAGCCGTCTCAGAACCCTGAGTGCTTATTCACAGCATACAATGGGTCCAGGAATAGAAGAGGAACTGTTAAATGATATGTCAGCGTGGTCTGCAGGCCGTAAGGAGATCTCGCAGATGCGCTGAGGTTGATTATTTGGCTGATGCATGGCTTTTGATCGGAGTTGCTCTTGACTCCTTGATCGTGTGGCCTGGATGAAAGGGGAAGGACTTTGAAGGGGTTCAGCTGTGTTTCTGTGGGGGGCCCAGTGCGCCCCCATCAGGGCGAGTATGAGCTCTCAGGAACGACACCTGCTATGAAAGTGGATGAGGTGGTTGCGTAGTTAACCCTTTGGGGTCTAGGGGTAGGGAACA